TGGAAAAATGAATATTATGAAATAAAAAATTTTTTTTAAAAAGATACCGAGCGTATTAATAGGAAAATGATTAATCCTATAATTATAATATAGTCTAAGATAACTAAGGTATTTTATAATAAAAGAAAACAGCATTGCGAAAAGTTTTATCTCTATTTTACTTTTTTACAATGTATGATTTAATTTGATGCTGTAAATATAGAACCATAAATATAGAAACTTTCTGCCTATTTATGCTTGCCACTATATTATCCTATATATCGATTATTGTTTTAGATATATTTTATGTGGCATAATATCTATGCTGAAATTTCAGTTCATTGTTTTACAAACCTGAATGGCAATTTCAGTGTTCCATGTATGTATAGGATGATGCTTGACGAAAATAAGAAGTGTGGTGAGACTGAGACACGCATTGATGGTGAAATATCTTGGGAACAGGATACGCTGCACTTCTCCAAACGTGTGTCTTGGCAATGCGAAATACAAGGACAGACCTACATACCCAAAAAAGGAATTTCTTAATTTTCAATTACTTTCGCGATTATATGTTTTATATGTGATGGCTACCTGATACAAATGTCATCCAAATTTGGGCACCAAGATGCATCACGAACGAAGCTAAGTAAATGAAGGCTGCTGCTCTCGACTGAGGATGACTGAAGTGTACTCTGTCCGTAGTCGGTACAAGAGCCGATGTTACGCACAGGACTGCTGCGATTATAATTACGTGAGCCGGTTGTGTCGTGTAAAACAGAACTCTGCAAATGAAAATTAGTCACTTTATATTAACGCTAGAATTATAGGTATAGAAAGTCTTGGTCAGAAAAAATAGATTGTTAAAAATTGATTTTCTTCTTTAAAAACAATTTTTTTTTTGTTTTTAATAATTGTCACATGACATCTATTAAAATTTCTGTTAAAAATTAAAAATAAATTTACAGTTGTTTTATTTTATAGCTATTATTTTCAAAAAAACTTATTTTACAGATACGTCCTTCTTTGCTTAATTATTACATTATGTATTAATTCTTCAATTACATTTAAAAATATTTGATAAATATTTATCTAATCTCAGCAATTCTCTTTCGATAATAGCGCTACTTCATTTTATTATACATTTCTCCAATTTATTGTTTCATATGTCGATATAACAAATGTCGTTAATAATCCCTTAAAATGTAAAATGTAATTTGTTTTAACGTTCTTGAGGCGATAAGAAGATTTATATGGTAAGTCGAGCATCGTCTGGATCGATGCATCATCTCACGAGTTAAAGGCCTATAATTTCAGAACACAAGGGGATCATTAGCATCATTGCCATTCGTTCGTAGAAAGCCATTAATTAGAACACCCTCGAGCATTTCTAATTGGGATTCGAACAACAACTGTAAGTTGATTGCTAGAAATACACTAGATATTCCATTATATGAATATTATATTAATACTGGCAGTGCAAATTTGCTATATCAATATTATAATGTAAATCGTAATTAACGAGTATTAAATTCTTGCAAAACTGATTGATTAATGTAATATATATATATATATATACACTATATAGTATATACATACTATATTATATAGTAGATACAGTATATATATACTATATCTATATATATATTTATATATACTTATATATACTATATATACTACTACATCTACGTACTTACATATACTATACTATAATATATATATATAT